GATGTTAATTATTACTTAACAGTTTTTCTGTCCAGAATAGACTAATCTTTTTTCTTTTTTTTTTTTTTTTTTTTTTTGCGGTACGCGGGCCTCTCACTGCTGTGGCCTCTCCCGTTGCGGAGCACAGGCTCCCGACGCGCAGGCTCAGTGTCCATGGCTCACGGGCCCAGCCGCTCCACGGCATGTGGGATCCTCCCAGACCGGGGCACGAACCCGTGTCCCCTGCATCGGCAGGCGGACTCTCAACCACTGCACCACCAGGAAAGCCCAGAATAGACTAATCTTTAATTGAACCAGTCTTTTTACATGTCTTTCACACACCATAATTCAATATATATTTATCATGCATCTCTAGGAGGAAAACATGAAAGTTATAATTTGTCAGTACTCAAAAAATATATACTTAATTATAGCATACACAATTTCAGTTTAACAATACCTCAAATGTCTGCCTTAATGCGATTCAGTTGAGAAAGACAGACTGAATGTGAACACTAGAGATACACGCTGCAACTTCATGGGGAAAATCCCTGGAGTCCAATGCTACTGTTGCCAATGGTTGCTATGCTATACTGCACAACAACTCAGAAGCTGAGACAGCCAGCTCACTAAGAAACAACTGAATCGAACCAAGATTTATAAATATACTCTGAGACTCAACTTTTTTATACCTTTAACTGAAGTAACTGTTTGTCATAAGCATCAGATACAGGATTTACAACAAGACTATAAAAATTACCTAGAATTTATTTAAGGACATATTTGGAGAGTGATAAGCACTTTCCAGAAGAGAATGGTTAGGTTTAGGTTCCTTCTAATTCCATGAATTTTAATCCAAAAGTGATTTGAAGTTACAATATACAGAAAACAAATAACTGGACGCTTCATGACTTTAATTTCTTTCTTCCTGAATTATATCTCAAACTTAAAAAAAAAAAATAGTGCTAGACTACAGAGTCTGTGATCCTTCCATGACCCAGAGAGGCACTCCTGACAGAAAAATATAAAACTTAAGAGAACTGCTAATTTATGAGGGCCAAATAAAAGTACTGATATAATTTCATAAATTAAGTCTTTACTAGGTAAAATGGAAAAGGGCAAAATGGGGAAATAGGAAGAGAGGAATGGAAGGAGACAGGGAGGAGGAAAGAAAGGAAAGAGTGGGGGAAGTATTTTTTTTAAACCCAGATTCTACTAAGGAAGAACCAGGAAACTGACCAAACTCCCAAGCCCACTAGGGAACAGTGCTAGCTTTCCTGAGGGAGTCCTTATTGCTGACATGGTCATGGGAAATTCTCAACTATTCACACTTTCTAGTAACAGAAACTTTACCTCTAATTCCAGTGAATCCCGCCTCTTTAATCCCCTTTCTTATGGTTGACAGTTGCCCTTCCTCCCTCAGTTACTCTCAAAAGATTTTCTTTTAGTTGCACTACACTATGGGAGGAAGGAAAAAAGTAGAAATATACATTCCTTATCTCTAATAAACATTCATTCAGCAACTTCTATTTGGAAGAGATTAAAGATACAGCTCACTGAGATCTGATTTCCTGTGCCTAAAAAGCTTATAATCTAGTTAGCAAGATAAGACATACATAGAAATGATAAAACAATACAATATAAAGTATCAAACGGTAGGACTGACAAATACACTCTACAGGATTTCAGAGGTGGAGTTTAGGACATGTCACCCCCAAATCTGCCGCTTTGGTATACTGATGTAGTTAAAGGCACTTGAGAAACAGCAGATACAAGAGGAGCACTCTGACCCTCTTTTTTCTTCCAGAAAGCAGGAGATAAAACTCCCATGTGAAAGGTGCCAGCCCTGTACCAGGAGGACGAAAGACATTCTTATCGCCAGAGATGGGGAATCAAAGCCGAGAAATGTGTACAAACTTGTTAAACTAACCCTTATCTTCCTAGTCATTTCTCTACAATTTACTCCTCCTAGCCCAAAACTCTGTCTTGTCAATGTTTCACAAACTTGTTCTTTGTCTAAAAGATATAGACTGTCCCCAACTTAGGAGTTTTTCGACTTCACGATAGTGCGAAAGCAATTCACATTCAGTAGAAACCATACTTCAGATTTTTAATTTTGATCTTTCCCCAGCCTAGCGATATGCAGTACAATACTCTCTCATGATTCTGGGTGGCAGCAGGAGCAGCGAGCTGCAGCTCCCAGCAATCAAGAGTGTAAACAACCGATACACTTACAACTACTCTGGACCCATACAACCATTGTTTTTCACTTTCAGTACAGTATTCAATAAGTAACATGAGATAATCAACACTTTATTATAAAATAGGCTGTAGGTTAGATGATTTTGCCCAACTGTAGGCTTACATAGGTGCTCTGAGCATGTTTAAGGTAGGCTAGACTAAGCTATGATGTTGAGTAGATTGGGTAGGTTAGGTATATTAAACCCATCAACTTATGATAGGGGAGGTAACCCCACTGTAAGTCGAGGAAGACCTGTAAAAGCTTTCTGCTCTGGTCTTCATTCTGCATGTACATGTAAAAAATTTTTAAAACTTGTATGCTTTTCTCCTGTTAATCTATATCAATTTAATTCTTAGGCCCAGCCACAGACCCTAACAGGGTAGAGAATTTTTCCTCCCCTGCAGAGTTGAACTTTATAGAAAGGGTACAATTCAGATTTTAGGAAAGAAGGAAAGAAATCAGGCAGTGACATGAAGACTGGTAAGGAAAGCAGAAAGCACACAGTAGGTTTAGAGGATGGTGAAGAAACCAGTCTGGTCAGAGTATCGCTTTTCTATAAAGAACATAAACTTGAAAAGGCAGAGTATGATGAGATTCTGAAGAGTTCAGATTAAGAAATGTGAACTTCTGTCAGCAGGAAAGAGTACTTCTGGAAAATTTTTACACAGATACATATAAACATTCCCTAAAAGTACACACAGATTAGACAACTTGAGAAAATTACTTGCTGAACCTAATACATTATGTATGACAAAGTTAAAATAAAACTCATTTTCTTTAGGCAGAGAGAGTACCTAGAAAACACACACACACACACACAAAATTCTGACCATTCACTAATCTGTTAAGATTTCATTCTTCTAAGCTTCTTGAATTAGAACTTCTCATGACAAAATGCTGACTTCTGATTACTAAGGATTTTATCACACAACGTGCATGAATCATTCTTGATTTTTCTTCTTTGCTTGTCTTTCCCATTCTTGAATATTTCATTACTTCAACATCAGCATGCAGGAAAAAGAGGGAAAGGACTAAAACGAAATCTACGGATTTTTGAAATACAGTCAGGGCATGATGTAAAGAATATAAAACTTCAAGTTCCGATTCCCATTACTAATAGTTTGATTTCAAAGAAGTCATTCAGTCTCACGGTGTCTCAAATGTTCTCACCTACTTTCTTACATACTTGAAAGGTTACTGCATTCAAAATATCACAAAAAAATGGTCTAAAAACTAACTACCAGGTATGTACTAAAAACTAACCCCCATGGTATGTACATTTTTTAGACACAATGCACGTTGCACACTTAATAGACTACAGTATAGTGTAAACATAACTTTTATATGCACTGGAAAGCAAAAACAAAAAATTCATGTGACTCGCTTTACTGCAGTCGTCTGGAACCAAACCCACAATATCTCCAAGGTATGCCTTTACTTGCCATACAAATTATATCATTAAGGGTTCAATGAGTGGAGTAAGAGTGAGATTACTGGCTAAACCAAGGTTTAAAAACCACCTGTGAGGGCTTCCCTGGTGGCGCAGTGGTTGAGAGTCCGCCTGCCGATGCAGGGGACGCGCGTTCGTGCCCCGGTCCGGGAAGATACCACGTGCCGCGGAGCGGCTGGGCCCGTGAGCCATGGCCGCTGAGCCTGCGCGTCCGGAGCCTGTGCTCCGCAACGGAAGATGCCACAACAGGGAGATGCCCAAGCAAAAAAAAAAAAAAAAAAAAAACCACCTGTGAGCAATAAGTGTTCTCTCAATGCTCTATGTTACCCTAAATTGGTATTACCCTACTAGTTGATACAATTCCTAAATATAACCACACTTCACCTGGTTAGAAAATACTCAAAGGAAGGGGAACACCTGACATACTATGTCCCCAAAAACCAAAGGGTAACTCAAATCCATTTTTAACTCTCTGTAGAGTCCTATACGACTCTAAAATGTAAAGCATTCTAATAATCCTAAACAAAATGCGTTTGAAATCACAGCTCAGTACAAAAGGTGAGTATGAACTATAACCACCTACAGGCTAAACTATGAACTTAGAGAACTCTGAATCCGGATAATTGTAGGACAGATACATTTAATTATATTCTAGTTGAATATTAGACTTGTTTACAGAGATGTTGCTTGGTAACAAAAGCTGTGCTTTAACAACCCACTCAGTTTTAGATCTACTCAAGTATTTTATGCTCATAGTCTGAAAACATTATGAACTATATACTACTGATATGAGAAACTAAGGACAAGTTTCTTGTTATCCTAGACATCTTGGAGATTTTACTGAAATAGCTTCATCGTTACAACTAATGTGACCAAAGGCTTTTAAAATACTTGACAATGGTTATTTTTAAGAGCTAAGTACCCATTTTTTTGGCCAAAGTTGGACACTAAGGATACATCAAAATGTCCATGAGAGCCCAGCATGCATTCACATATTCTAACGTTATCTTTGTAATGACAGCCAACATCAGTTAGAATTGTCTTCAGGGTCAACGAAAATGGCAGCTTATTTTTTTTCACGAGTGAAACTAGAGGTACCACACGTTTAGCCAGCTTTTAAACTGAGGCTACCCAAGCACCACTGGAGTTCATCAAAAAGCCCCACAGAGTTTCACGTGCATTTAGTCGGCTACAGAACATTCTCCCAGCCTACTTTTCTAACACCCGCTCCACTTGCTTTACGGGAAAAATAAAAGAAGAATTCAAGAGCAAGTTGTAAAGAAAAAAGCCATGAGCATTCCAAACCACGGACAAGACAGCGTTACGTACCAGACTCACACTCGGACCTTGAAACGTGCGCACAGAAAACTTAACAGTGACCGGTGGTCCGGCCGCACTCGCCAGGTGGACACCTCCACTGCTCCAGCCACGGGCGCCTGCGGCACTCTTCCCGCCGGGGCACTGGGGCCACGGGAGACGGTCCCGCACGCGGGGTGCAGGCCCAGCCCGTCACGCCTGGTGAGGTCTCGGCGGCCGCTCGCGGCGCAGGCTGAAGAGCAGGAGCCGGAGGGCCAAGCGCGCCCCTCGGGCTCCCAACCCCTGGAAATGTGGGGTATCCCGAGAGAGCTCCGAAGGCGAAAAGGGCAGCGGCGGCAATGGAGAAAAACCCCGCTCCTCCTCGGTGGACTGGCCTTCTCTGGGGTGCGGGGCCGGAGCCGAAGTCCGACTAGGAAACCAACCCGAGTCCGCCGCCCGCCACCCTTCAAACCCCGCAGAGCGGGCTGAGTCCCGAGACCTAAGGGCGCGCGAAGCAGGAAGTCCCGCCCCCACGTCGACGTCACCGACGCCGCGGACGCCGGCCGCGGCCAGAGGCGGTTAAGAGGGAGGCGGCGAGCGAGCCGAGGCTGGGGTAGTGGCAACCATAGTGGGAACGGCGGGGTCAGGTTGGCGCTCCGAGAGGCCTCTTGGGGCCGCGGAGATCCCTAGAGCCGAAGGGAACGCACAGTCCGGGGCCCGGCACTTGCCTCAGGGAGCCAGAGTGACGCGCGCAGTTGAGCGGGAAGCCGCTCCCCCTCGCCTCCTCCCCACGCAACGTCTCGGCGGTTTCTCGCAGTTTCGCGCTTCTCCTGCGCTCCACTGGCTCTTCCGACACTTTTTCTTCCCTGAGGGCACTGATAGTGGTCCTGCCGCCACCCCCGCCTGCCTTCGTGCCCGACCGTGCAGATAGAATGAGTCTCGAAGTCTCCTGCCTACCGCGTCGGCCATGGGGCCTGGGCCCACGAGTGGGGAGCCGGCGCAGCTTGCCAGGCGGAAACGGCCAGGTCAGGAAAGAGGCCCATGTGCGAGTCCCTCCCCGCACCGCACGCTCCAAATCTCAAAACGTGTTAGCTCGAGTACAGGGCCCACTGGCCTCAGTGGTATCAATGAACTATATGTTACAAATCATTGGTTAGTGGGAAAAGGATTATCTGAGGAATTACTAAACGCTGGGGACCGGCTTTACATCTGTTTCATTTGTTTAATACCAGATAACAAGAATTTAAATGTAAAGAATGAAACCATAAAAATATTACAAGAAAATCTAGGTGACTATAATCTTGAGCTGAGAAAGGCCTTTTCTAAGTATGAAGCAATAACCAGAAACCATTAAAAAACTCGATAAAAATTAACCACATAAAGATTATTATCTACACACAAATAATAACTAATGGAATATAAATTTGTATCATGTGGAAAAAGAAGGAAAAGTATTCCTAATACACAAAAAGCTCATAGAATATCAATTTTAAAACTTAACACAATAAATAAAATTGGCAAAGGATATCAGTAGGACATTCTTAAACCAAGAAAAACAAACTTCTAATTAACAAATGAAAAGATGTTCAACTTGCAAACATCCTTTTTGTCTATCAGTGTAGATAGTGAGGTGGGGATACAATTACTGTCATGCCTAACTGGTGTGACCTTGAAATTGGTACACCGTTAATTACCAAAATTTAACAAAATAATTAGGCTTTGCCCCAGCAAACTCATTTTCTAGTCATGCGCTCTAAAGAAAATAAAAAGAAAACAGATTTACGAGGATGTTCCTCACCCCCCTTTTTATAATAGGTGCTTATGGAAACAATGTAAGTACCATCACTAGGACACTAGTTAAATGTTATGGTACCTACATACAATGAAATACCCTTGAGCCGTTAAAAACGATGATGTAAATCTCTATATTTACACAAAAATATGTCCACAGCATATTGGTTTCTTTTTCCCCCTAAAAAGCAGAGTACAGTTTAGCACGAACAGTGCTTCACCCAAACATGAGTACGCATGTGTATATATGTGAATGTAAATACAAAAAGATCAGGAAGGATGTCAGCCAAAATGCAACTGATTTTTATTTTATCTTTTGACCTTTTCTATCTTGTTTGAATTTTGTATAATGAATATATCATTTTTACAAAAACAAAATTGTTTTAATTAAAGATGCCCGTGAAAAAGGGCCAGTTTACTACAGACCCTCACAGGTGGATAACCAATGTGAAGTAATTATATTTGGGATCTAAGTCTCAGCTTTTTAAGTGTCCACAGATTTGGTTACATTAATTTACCTAGAGTTGGACAAACTTTTGTCATTTGGACATCCTGGTCTGACTCCCAGATTGGACTGGGTATCCTTCCTGTGTGCTCTCTCTATGCCTCTCATGGCATTTGCCACACTGAACTATAATTCCCTCTTTCTGTCACTAGACTGTTTACTCCTACCACACACACACGTCCTTTTTCTGCCATGTTATGTGCTTATTTTCCCGATTCCTTTTCTGTCATCTACTTTATTTTTCTGTGCATAAGTTTTCATTTTAATGTAATTACACAGATATTAAAGGGATAATTTCAACAACTTTATGCCAAAAAATTTAACTTAAGTGAAATGGACACATCAAAGTCTAATAATAACACAAATATGAATTCCAGCTGCTTCAAATTGTGATATTTACATTGCTAGTGTGAGTGTAAAATTTAGGGCAGTGAAAATATTCTGTATGAAATTGTAATGATGGATTATGTTATTATACATTTGTCCAAACCCAGAGAATGTACAACACCAAGACTGAATCCCAAGGTTAATTATGGATTTTGGGTGATTAGATGTGTCAATGTCAGTTCAGCCTTGGTAAAAGAAATGCACCATTCTGGTGAATGATGTTGATAATGGAGGAGGATATACATGTGTAGAGTGGGAGGTATATGGGAAATCTCTGTACCTTCATCTCAATTTTGTTGTAAATCCAAAACTGCTCTTTTAAAGTCTTTTTAAAAAATGAACATCTAAGATGTGTGCATTTTATTCTATGTTAATTATACCACAATAAAATATATATTTTAAAGTGCTGATAAAGATGATTCCTTTCTGTTAACTGAAATACCAATGTCTGCTAGCAAGGTCACTTAATTCCTTATATCAAGATATCTGAGAAATCTAACTAGTAATCATAAAGTTGTTAGGTGCACCCATATTCAGAGCAAAGGAAAGTATATGGTCCTGAGGGGTAAATCCAAACTGCAGAAAAGCTTGATAAGCTATCAAGCAACAACAAATGTGTTTGTTTACCATGGCAGATAAATGAAAGAAATAACTGCTATAAAAATGAAGGCTTTGATATCATGGAGCTAATAAATTTGCATTACACATACAAGAGTGGAATAATGGGGTCCTCAGGAACCTAATAGGAAATTGTTTTATAAGTTTAAATTTTAAATGAAAGAAAGTAAGGACATGCGGAGTATTTGATTAAGAAAGAGTGATTTAGGATATGGGAATTCTTTTGATAAAAAGAAGGCATTCCAGTATTGCTTTTCACATTTAATACTTTGTTGCCAAAGCCAGAAATAATGTAAGAAGAATAAGCTTGTATTTCAGAATGTCAAGGAAAAAAAGTTATATGTCGTATGGCTCAGTGGTAGACAGAACTATTTTTGTCTTCTTAAAATTTCACATACCTTCTCATTTTCTCATCTCTCCTTTCCTATTTCTCTTTCATCATTCTACTTTTCCTTCTTGTTCTCTTTCATCCTATTCATTTTTTCTCTTTTTCCTCCTTTAGATCAGGATTTTAACTTTAGTTTCATGATTGACCTCCTAAGGAGTCATTTTAGGCATTTTTATCCTAATTTTCCCCCCTACCCACTATGAGATCTTAAACCACAGATATCCTGTATATCTGTTTATGTACTGTGGCTCTTTGGAGGGCCACAAACCATCGTAATAACTAAGGTTTTTTGCCCATTGAGAATGCATGCTCCAGATAATAAGCTCTTTGAGGGGAAGGATCATGTTCTGTTTACTATGGTATGTTCTCTGCTTAACATATAATGCTTGGGACATAGTAGGCAATAAATAAATATTTTAGATGAATATTTATTGAATTAAAAGTGAAAATGATCTCTGCTACAAACTTATGGGTCAACTAAACTAAAATTCTTGGATCTTTTTCAGACAGTGCTACATACTACTGACTACTCCACAATACCTCCACATTCCAAGAATGTCTTCCTGAGACTATATGCTTGTGATTTGATAGAAACTTGGAAAGCGTGGAAAGCACTCTAATCACAAAAGCAGTACTTTTGTAGACAATTCCAAGAGCGGGTTACTTATACAGGAGCTAATTTCATCTATCATAAATGATTTTTCTCCCTAGCTTCAGTTTCAGAAGGTGATCATTTCCTAAATTTTTCTTTAAATTCTGAGGCTATACAGCCTCTTTGGTACTTAAAACCCACTATTCAGGTTTATCAGTTTCAGCTGAGGTCCAAGAATTAGATTAGAGAATGAAAAGAAGGGGAAGACTGTAGGAGAGGGAGAAAAGAAAGAGAAGTCATTAAACTTTTCTGTTTCTTAATTGTTTTACATGTAAGAGCTCTTCTAGCTCTAAAATTTTGATCTTGATGATTATGCTCTAAGTGGTTCTCAATAGAAGCATTTTGGCAATCTGTGAAGGTGTCATTAGTTACCTCAAGATTGGGGGGACAGTGCTACCAGCATTTGTGGGTAAGGCCAGGGATGCTAAACATCCTGCAATACATGGGACTTTGTTCAGATCAGGTCCTTGGAAAAGTAGATGCCAAGACAAATTAGGTGTGCAAGAGATTTATTGGGGGAAAATAACTGTTAAGAAAAAAGGAGAGGGCTTCCCTGGTGGTGCAGTGGTTGAGAGTCCGCCTGCCGATGCAGGGGACACAGGTTCGTGCCCCGGTCCGGGAAGATCCCACATGCCGCGGAGCGGCTGGGCCCGTGAGCCATGGCCGCTGAGCCTGCACGTCCAGAGCCTGTGCTCCACGACAGGGAGGCCACGACAGTGAGAGGCCCGCGTACCGCAAAAAAAAAAAAAACTGGTATGCAAACCCTGATAAGATGGTTACTTAAAAAAAAAAAAGAAGTAAAAAAAGAAAAATGGAGAGAGGAAGTAGTAGGCCAGGAGTGCCTTCAGACTGATGCAGTTCTGCTACCCATGAAACGAGCGAGAGAAGGAAGCAAGGACAGGTAGGAAGAGCCTCAGACTGCCATTCGGCTCTGAGAAGTCTTGGCCAGACCAGTGAGGAGTCTTAGAACAAAGACTGACCATTTGAAGGGTCCCAATTTGGGCAGGCGTGGCCTGGCACTAATACACCTGCTGTGCTCAGTCTTTTTTTTTTTTTAATTAATTTTATTTTTGGCTGAGTTGGGTCTTCGTTGCCGCACACGGGCTTTCTCCAGTTGCAAGGAGCGGGGGCTACTCTTCATTACGGTGCTCAGGCTTCTCATTGCGGTGGCTTCTCTTTGTTGGAGCGAAAGCTTAGAAGAAGGAGGTTATTGGGACAAACTACATCCCCATTACTCAGTTGGTCTCAGGGACGTAACTGCTACGCATCTTCCTCCTCCTCCATTATCCAGTTCAAAATCTACTATTCTTTACCTGTCACCTCCACAGGTCTTAGTAGCTTACCTGGGTAATGACCCAAATGCTCTCTTAATGAGAACGTATATTTACTGGTAATTAGACACTTCTCAGGCTGGGATTGCTGCACATGTCCTTCCACAGTTCCAATTAAGTATCAGTAAACTTCCAAATGGATCACATGGAGTCCACATATATTTTTCCTTCCCATTATATGAAAGCAGCCCCTCCTCTTCCTGTTGGTCCAGGTCAGTTACTCTTGCCAAGATGGGGACTCCTCTTCTTGCCCGCTGGTGCCTGGACACAAAGAGTTCAAAGTTCCCAAACAGTAGC